GAACGTATATTATAGCTTTATAAATAAAGGATGTAGCCTGCAAAATTTTGTCTACCAAAATGCTCAGTTTTTGGCAATAATTGAGACGTTCGAAAACACAAAAACAGAATTTTGGACATTTTGGCTCCAATTTTGGTTTGGATGCGCAACAACTTATTGAAAACTTGAAAAATGACACTGACAAACATTGTCGGTTGACTATGACAAAATTAGTTTAAATGAATTCTTGCTGGCTAAACATATCTAGTATATTTACATTCATAATAAACTTGTATTTTGCCCAAAAAATGGTCAGACAGTTTATTTTATTGAGAAAACGCTTTTAAGGTAAGCAAAATTTATAAGCAAAGTGTTCAATATTAATAAATAGAAAATTAATATTAAAAAAGTAAAAGTTACTATCCAAGCCCCTAACGAGGCGATGCCAGTTCTGCGAAATTCGGGATGGGGAAGATAACTCTGAACATTTCATTTTATACATATATATATATATATATATATATATATATATAGCGAGAGAGAGAGAAAGAAAGTGTAAGAGAGAGAAAAAGAGAGAGAATGAGAGAGAGAGGATTAATACAATGTTCTATTCAGCAGATCGACTTTTGTAGACAAACCTTTTTGTAATTGTTCTGTCCACTCGCCAGGAGATATCAGCAATTGACTATCGCTAAAAACGAAGTATGCTCTTATCATTTAGGTCAGTGGAATGACTCAATTCAATGAAAAGGGAATTTTACCATGCAAAAGTTGATTAGCATAAGACATAGTTTCAACCACCTCACACGATAAAATCTCTCTTTTACCTGTAGTTTTCATACAAGTTTGCAAAGTATTGCTTCAGAAGTTCGTACCATATTCGGCTCATAGGTTGGTCACTTCGTCGTGGTGTAATGGCTAGGATGCTTGTCTTGCTAGATCAATGACGACTAAATAGTGAGTATGATCCTCAATGGGTGCCCCATATTTTCGACCATGTGCCACATTTAAGCTACTCTTAGAAAAGCATCATATTCGATTCACGTGTGCTGTTCAGATTCTCCGATTAGAATGTGAATTTTACCTTTCTTAGTAAAAAAGACTTTTTTTTAAATACTTTTTCAGCTTTTTCCACGTAACAGTAATACGATGTATTACTCAATAGTTTATCTAATCTTATCAGCACTTAAATATTCAAGTAAAAACAGCAATATCAAAAAAAGTATCAGAGAGTATCTAGGATAAAATAAAATGTATTATAGAGTATTAAATAAAATATAGTCTATAGTATAAAATAAAATATGGTCTATAGTATAAAATAATAGTATCGGAAGACAACATATTCAATCGGAAGTTAAGATCCAAGAAAAAGTATATGTTGCCTTCAATGGGCCAGGGAAAGCGAAGTGAATGTGTGACGCAAACACTGCTAAAACGCTTAAGGCATCTTCCCTATTAGTGAATTTGTTTTGCTTGAAATAAAAATAAAATGTTATCTAAAATGCTTGAACAATCAATTAGTGATATATATGGGGAATATATCTGTGGGGAAAGTTTTGTGCAAAGCGTTTAAAGTAATTCTTATGATGTTGCAAGGAGCCTTGGGTGTTGAAATTCTCGTAGAAGAGTTGTTCAAGAGGCATAAATGTTTTAAAGAACGTTACATTTGCGTTGAATATAGCGCTCGCACAGATTGTCTATCAATTATAATTTCGTCAGAAAATAAAGTTAGTGTTTAGCTTTAAGTTTGTTCCAAATCGTCATCTGTCAATAATATACGTAGCTTTTTTGTGCGAACAAAACTCCAAACAAAAAAAAATTGCCTTGTACCTGTATACGAAAGATGCAGATGACAGCGTTGATAGCAAAAAGAAGGGTCCAACATGCAAATTAAAAATTGGAGATACTAAAATCAAACAAATACAACAGTTTAAATATCTGGGAAGTGTTTTAACAGAGGGCAGAAATCACGACACCGTAATCCGACGGTACACTGAGATAGCAAAAGAGGCCTTCCAAAAGCTAAGCAAAGTATTAAGAAACCGAAAAATTTTGTTAGCAACAAAGACAAGAGTACTGAACTGCTATGTAATATTAATTCTGCTATATGACAATGAATGCTGGACAATCTCTTCATCGATGGAAAAGAAACTTCATGATAAAAATGAGGTTCTACATGAACATGTGAGCAACGGCGAAGTTTTAGAGAAAATTGAAACAAAAGGACACATATACTTAACACAGAAAGAGACAATTGAAATTTATTGGATGCATAATGAGGAAAAATGGCTCGGAATATTTGACATTCACAGGACATATTGAAGACAATTGGGACAGAAGAAAATAGTGCATAACCTACATAACGAACTCGTGTAAATGTATGGTAGAACAGGGGCTAGAGAATACAGCAAAAAGACTAAATTTACTATGACCTACAACGTACAGGAAATTGTGGAGAGCCATAATCTTCAACATCTTTAAGGGACACGGCACATAAAAAAGAATAATGTATGTAAAGGAGGTAGATGAATGCTTCACAGCACGAAAAGCAAATAGGATACAAATTAAAGTGTGTATTAACATTGCATTTCCAAAAGACATGTACACTTCCATTCGCTAACT